AGCTTGGGGCCCCAAACATTGATCAGAAACTCCCTGCCGGAAAAGTCGTTCAACCAGACGTTTGTCTTCGGCTTGGACTTTGTCGGAGCTGATTGAATGCCTGTTACCAACCCCATCAAGTCAAAGCGCTGTCGGCCTTGGCAGGTGGATTCGACAAGGCTCAGATCAAGGCGCGGCACTGGTAGTGAGTCTTTCAGAGCTTGGTACTTCGGATGCACCTCCGGTAACTTTGTGACCACAACTTTGGAACCCTTTTCACTCAGATCCACGAAATGTCCAGCGAAGAAATTGTTCTTGGCGGTCTTCAAGTTCTTGACCTGAATCGGGGCTTTCAAGTAGGGTTCGGCTTTTTTGAGCACATCTGCTTGATTCTTCCCTCGCAGCTCTGCGTACAAACCCTTGCCGGTCAGGTCGGCGAATCGCATGACCATCTTGGCCCAAGGGCCGCCGGGGCCGGTCATTTCTTTCACCACATGATACAGAGGTCGGTGAGACATTGGAAATTTTTGGCAGTCAGGCGATCTAGTGTACCCTCCACTGTCTGCTTGGTAGACATGACAAAAGGCTGGCGCCGGTAACAAATCCGCAGAACAAGGTCAATGTTACCGCGCCCTTGTGTTTGAGCCCACGCGCTCGCAGGTGACACGTGGTATCGCATAAAATACATCTCTATATCACGGGCCTCAGGATCACAACAGCAAGCACAGTCATCAGAATATATCTTTGGATTGAAATCTCTTTTCGTCTCGGTCTTATTTCCCGACCTCTTTAGCGCAGGGATAGTCACGCGTTGATCAAAGTCACGCACTGGGACAGTTTTCAAAAGACTTGTGTGTGTGTTTATCCTGCTTGAAGTCTCATGCTGAGATCAGGTTCCAAAGAGTCGTGTGTTTATTTTGATTCAAGAGTAAATATATTACAGTAGATACGCATTCTCTAATCTCTGACAGAAGCTTCATTTTGCTTATACCTTTCAATAGAGAGCTCCATTTTTGACACAAGCTCCTTGTCTGTCTGCGAAGAGTAAGTCCCCTGGTCGAACAACGTTCTTGACTGCTGCCCACCTGCCTGATGCTAAATCAAAGTCAAAGGTCTCATGTGGCAAAAAAAGCCTCGAGATCCTGTGACACAGCCTTAGTTCCCTCGGCGCTCGCCCAAGCGCGCGCATCCTTGCCACTGGACTTACAGGCTACGTTCACATGTGGAGCATAGAATTGTAAACATTCAATACGTTGATCGTGTGCAGCATAGAGGAACAAATATTCCAGCTGCCTCTCTGCTGCCAACCCTGCATGACGCTTCCATCGCCGACAATGCGGCGCTGCTGGGCAATCGGATTGAAGTACTCCTCCCCTTGTCTCATCTCTCTCAGCAGGCTCACTCAAAGTCATGCGAGCGCCTGGCCTGCGACTGGATGTTTCCGTATTCGCTTCCAGATTTTCTGTCGGTCCCATCCTGGGGTATTCCTCTGCGCTACCCCTGGTGGGGCCACCATGCACATTGGCATAACTTCGCTTCTTGGAAACACTGGGCTTGGGGACAGCATCGCGTGCGCTCGGGGTGGACGACAAAGCCTCCCAATGCCTCAGCGCCCACAGAATATAGTCTCGATTTTTACATGGGGGCAAGGAAGGTCGGTGCCACAAAATCTGTTCAATGGCTTCATGTGCCAGGAAACCTTCTCTGGCCATCAAACACGCGGCCAGCGCCGCTGGGCTACGATGTACGCCGCCGTAGCAATGGAAGAGCACGACTTGTTTCCGCCCCAGCATAGCACGCCTGGCATTCAAAGTGCGCGCGATATCTGACCACACCCGACAGTTCCTTTGGGCTTGCTGCGCAGCGTCGGATCTTTGGTCACTTTGACCGTCAAATCATCCAGATCATACACACATTGTTGGACGTTGTGCAGGCGTAAATATACAGCCCAACTCTCTGGTGTCCCTTTGGCCAGCAAGTCCTTGGCACAGACCGCCACTAGCGTGTCTACTTGGACGCCACAGCCATGTGCCACATCGGCCAAGTTCGCCACAGATTTCCAACTGCCCAGGACATAGACCATATCGTAGGACTCATAGACGATGGTCGCATCCAAGGGCCAAGCACGGAGATCTCCCAAATTGTAGGGATGGTTCCAAATTACGTAACCAAGAAGCCTCCAAGGTTCTTGGTTGAAGTACCTCTGAATGAGAGCCTTCATATCATCGTTCCACTTTTGCGCACAAGGTTCCACAGGCAATTGCGGCAGACATGGCTGCATATGATCCATACCAGGGCAAATTCTCCGAATCCTAGATGAGCCAAAAAGCTAACCCTAGAGATAAACATGAGGACCAAAAGTCGACAAGTCTGTACCCGCGTTCAAAACACAGTTTACCCAACAAGTCCTGGCGCCGCCGCAGGTACACGGACACTCGTCCTCTTTATAGGTTTATAGTGTCAGCAAGGTTGGCCGTGTAAGTGAAAAGGACGACTATACATATACTGCACATTAGGTTTGAGGCCATCGCTGTTAGGTTTGAGGCCATCGCTATTAGGTTTGAGGCCATCGCTAGTAGGTTGGAGGCAATTGCTAGTAGGTTGGAGGCCATCCCTATTAGGTTGGAGGCCATCGCTATATATCAGGTTGGAGGCCATCGCTAGTAGTAGGTTGGAGCCATTGCTATTTAGGTTGGAGGCCATCACTATTCGGTTGGAGGCCAT